GCTACAACCGACTTTGAACGAAGGACCAGCGATCGGAATAATCTCTCGTATTGCCGATCTAGTTCGAAGAAGTTCGCGGGAACATCGAACTTCCGTTAAGTTCGGCCGCGGTCACCTTCCCTAATCTGAGGGTCACGGTTTCGCTTCACTTTCGTCCGAACCGCAGATTGCAGTGGAAGTGTTTCATTTTGTTCGCGTGATAGTTTCGTTTTGTTAAGTGAGTGAAAGCAACGTGGTTGTACTTTTATACTTAAATTCTAATTTCTCCTCGTTGATTGTTTAGCTATAATTATAAATCAATACGTAGGCTAGTCTTAGGCTAGACTTTGTGTGTGTCGAAAATAAGCTAGACCAGGTAATGTGCTCGTTAAAGAAAATCTGAGCATTGTGCTTAATGTTCTTTTCACCAGCCGACGGCTACGTTTAAATTTCCAACGTCATCATCTGCATCCCGGGGCGAATAATCCCGGCAACCGTCACCTTGTCCGGTGAAAAGCGATCCACATCTACATCGCTGAGCGGGGCTTTGTGGTTCGTCCACCCACGTGGAAATCGTTGGTCGTTCAACACCAATGATCGAACGCGCATCGATTGAAGGTAGCATCGTCACCGCGCCAGTAACAGCAGCGCAGCAATCATCAGCAGCTAAATCCACTGGTGAGTCCGTTCTGTTTTTTTCGTTGAGTGTGGCGTCCGGCGAGGGCGCCACGGAGGACCTTTTTTGCCGACCATAAGGTCGAAGAGCATGAATTGCTAATATTTGGATTAGTCCAATAATTCCGGAGTGATTTGAGATTTGGGCGTAATTGTATTTGTAAACAAACACGTCAATCGCCAATTTCTCGCGAATAAAAGCTCAATTTTGAAAACTAATAACACTATGAAGTAGAAGTATGATTCCTCTATCATTTGGTATAGTTTGTTTATAAGATTGCGCTTTTGTTCACGAGAAATCAGCGATTGACCTGTTTGTTTACAAATACAATTACGCCCAAATCTCAAATCACTCCGGAATTTTAAGGTTAGGGTGTCGGCAAGACAAACGTGCGCACGTATCGTCGTATATGGATGCCCACCCAACCCATCAATGTTAGACACCCGGGTGCCAAGCTTTGCGTTCCCCGCTTGCTGCATCGTCGTGGGATTCGTCAGGAAGAAGCACAAGAGCACAGCACAGATAGAAGCTAGTTACGCACACAAAAATAGGACTAGGTAGAGAAAGATAATAAAGAGGAGTAGAAAATACAAGCAATGGAATTTTTGTGAAAGCACGCTCTAATTATAATAAAATCTTAGCTTACCGTTTTACGTTGTGAAATAAATGTTTGATTTGATTTCGAGGTAATGTTGTCCTATTAAAAATTTGAATGAGAGGAAGAAAGTGTCTTCACGTTGTTTCGGGTCCGTGTAATTCTGCTGTTGTCTTCCGCGTGGTCGGAGTGTGACTTTATGTTGCGTACCTCTTTTGCTGCAACTGCGCCTCTGGCGGAAATAGGTGGAACTACCGATGAGGAAAGCTTGACGTGTAACGTCGTTTTAGGTTTGTGTGCTCTCTTACCGTGAGCTTTGGGGAAATATTTCGAGGTGTGAGAGATTATGCTGTTTTAGCAATAAGGGTTTCTACCCGTTCAAATTCGGTGGTAGTAAAGCTCGCTCGATCTCTTCTTTTCACGAAGATTACTCTTGGACTCGCCCTGGGGCAGTCTCATCCGGGCAAACTCAACATGGTATGCGGTCTCCTTTACCGGAGTGGCGCTTAAGCCGCATACTTATCCGAGATCGCCAGTGACGGCTACAAATTGGCGCCCAACTGCAAGTTCGAACCTACAGTTATCGTTATGGAGTATTTACATTGATTTTTGGGTTAGTGTAATATGTTGTGATGTTTAGATATTTTCGGATTACTTGAGTTTGTGGATTTTTTTTAGATAATTTTTTTTTCGGACTTCGGATTTTTGGAGTATTAGGTCAAGTAAAGTTTTTTTTTTTTTTTTTGAATTGCTGCTATATTTGAGTTTTGTACTTTCTCTTAATTTAAAATTTAGCTTAATTAAAATATAGTTTATCTTAGTTTGATTTAGTAAGGAAATTTAATTGAATTCAAAATGGGTTCTCGATTTCCGTATGCCGAGCACTTACGGGAAGAAGAGGTGAATTATGGGAAGATCTGGAGCAAGCGTTAGGAATTAAACAGAGACTACTTAGGAGACTGTTTTACAAAGACACTAAGGAGAAACGAGAATACCGGTCTCCTTACACAATTGAGGAAGAGTATGAGTTAGTTTCTTCACGGGTAAACGGAATAAGGACAGAATTGGCAAAGGGTTCAGATACGAGACTAATATCTCGGTTGAAACATTATTATCTCAGGGTGGAGCGGAGTAATACAAGGGACGATGAATCTCTTAGGATGAAACAAGATCTATTAGGGAACATCTCGGACCTGTTGATAGTTCAGAATGCATTAAGCCCGTTGTTACCAGCAGATACGGAACAACTAGACTCCACTAAGGAAACTGAGTCAGAAGGATCCAAAAACACAGATGAGGAAAGTCAACCAACAGATTCAAAAAAAGCAGAAAAAGAAAAAGGTTGGTTTCTCGGTACCGACGGGAAACAAGCTGCTGTTTTCCAATAAGGGAATATTGATATATGTTAAATTATATATATTATTTTCTGTGACTCGCGCATGTGCCATGAATAAAATGGAAATGACATCTCCTCTCATTCCCATCATAGGTATTCCACTAGAGACGCTCACATTCATGAATTTAGATGAATTTGTTTCAAAATCTGCGAGATTTCATTGCACCTATGTAGAATTAGAGAATGCTTCGCTGCGTCCAAAAACTGAAACATGCCAAGGAACATGTGCTGTCAAAACTGGTACTGAATCTAGAAGTTTATAATCTTTTTTTTTACGTTTTCGGTACAAATTAAACCCATTCTAGATCTTTTTATTATTCAGAATCGTTTAAACTTCAATTTAATTGTATCAGTTGCTGCACAACTAGGGCGTTTCGATTTTATAAAATTTGAAAACTAAATATGCTCACTAACTAGTGCCAAAACTGGCTCATTTACTCTATCGGGGTTTTCGGATTAGCGGAATTTATTTTCATGATTCAGCAACTCTAGGAACCAGTCTAAGTATATGTTTGTAATACATAACGTAATCAAACTTCAAGACTTATGACTTAAAACTCAACGCCATTGCAATACAAATCAAGCAAGACCAGCTTTACGAACCACTTTCCTAAATTATAATCGAGAAAATCAAAGCAACAACCGCAACCTGCTTTTGAAATAACCATCAGCATTTATTTCAGATCGCTTTCCCCGAAAAAGTAGTCTCATCTTTTATTCGACATTTGGCACTGAACTTCAATCTTCAGTCAGCTCCATCCATGAAGCTCTTCCACATCCCACCATCTAGCTGACAAAGGAAGACGACGACGACGACGACGATGACGACGATGGGCGGCACAGGCTAAAAAAAGCCCAAACGGGCAGGGGGCAACTTGAAAAGCGAGTACGGCAACGACACAAAGCGCGTCTGAGTGCCACACGGCAGAGAGTAATGGCTAGGTTTTTCCTTTTTCTGTCCCAGGGAACATCCAAAAAAGAATACCCTGAACCCTCCAACCGACATGTCAGAATGCTGTTGCGGGAGGGGTTGGATGGAACGGTGTATCAACTTGAACGTGTAGAACTTCCTGTATCAATTCATCGAAAAAAGGGCTTTCGAACGAGAGCTGGAAGCGAAATGACGATGGGACCACCACCGCACACAAAAAGGAATGGAACTTGAAGTTATTTATGATTGTTCTTCTTTATTTGGAATGTTGCTTCGGGTTGGGGGAGGGAGGCTGAATTCCGGTAGACACATATTGTCGAAAGCTGCTCTAATAGGTGGAAGCCGTCGAGACGACAAAATATGATTAGGCGGGCTCTGTTAGACCTGGGAAGGTGGTTGAATTCGAGGTGGTGTTACAACCTGTAACAATGACGCGGTTGTGTCACGTTTGCCGATGAGATAAGCCAAGATCGTCGTGACGATATCGGGAAGACAGCTGCTGTGTAAATAAATTCCACAAGGTACCACCCTAGATTGAAACGATGTCGGCGGCTTTGGCTTGTAGTGCCAACTGCAAGGTGGTGCCTGTCGATTGTTGGTGCTTCTTAGGAGGAACGAACAGATGCTGACGTGAAAACTTGTTCCACCGACAGTAACAAGATGTTGGTTACACATACCGATTGAGCTTGATCAGATCGACTTGTCAGTCGAATTACGGATCGATTGCTGATGAAAATCATTCAATGGCAGTTTGGCTACCGCTTGATTGGGGAATGCAGATAGCTTAGATAATAAATTGAATTTATGTTGCTCACTTATTCGATCCTGTTGGTGTTTCATTGGCTGTACCTGAAATGAAAGGATGATGAAAATTAGTTATTCGACTTGAATCATGATCATACAAGTTTATGATTTTAATTTTCCCTCTCAAAATTCCATGGACTACGCATAATTTCTCACTAGGGGCAATGGACCAATTTTCTGCCAGAATTCAACCATATTGACTAAAGATTCATTTTTCAAAATGGCGTCTTTGATATTTTTCAATAAATCGTAGCTCGAAAACGGCTCATCTAATCGAAATGACGTCTGAAACAAAGTTGTGACATTTTTATGATTTTTTAACTTCTGAAAATTTGAAAGCTTATTAAAAATTAAGAAAACATGAATGTACAATATGGATACCAGAATCATTTAAATAAAAAAAAAATAGTAAATCGTAGAACTTAACTCTAATGGCAAAAATGTGTAAAACCATCACTCTTACTCATCGTTGGGCTGAAATCACTGATCCACTACACTCATCAATAAAACGTTTATCAATATTGATCAAGACTAGTTTACTCAGCTGTACAATTCTCTATAGAATACTATATAAACCACCGCTCCCCATTGTATTGCATCAGCCATAAATCTCTGTTGCTGTTAAACCTCACCTGATAATCCCGTATAAGTAAAATGCTTCGCATCAAAGAAGTGAAAAAGTACAGTCAGCTTCTAGGATTCCCCGCCGGGAAGGAAGTCCGCATCAAAGCACTGCAGACGGAGGACTTTTCGAGTGGTCCCATCTACTTCAAGTACGGTCGGGAACTGTCCAAGCATGATCCATCGCCGGCCGGAATGACTTGGAACGTGACCGTTTTCGATACGGCTCTGAACCACCCCCGGCGTCCATGGACGGTTACCCAGACCGTTGCGGGTAAGGCGATGGTGTTGATCGTTCAAGGAGAGGGATTGGCTGTGTCGGAAGCAGATCCGGTGAAGATTGTGAGCTTCAATGGTGGTGAAGATTTGGATGAAGAAAGCTATCAGAATGCCAATTCGTCGATTTTGCTGATCAAAAGTGGAGGAAAGGAATTTGCGGTAGCATTGGATGACTTCAAGGAGCTGCATTCGTATGAGATCAACGCAGGTGGTGGGAAATTATCACTGAAGTCGGGGAGTGAAATAAGATCGGTGGCAGGGAGAATTCTTCCTATAGAGCAGCAGGATGGATCAGTGATGTATGTTGCAGTGAATAACGGTGAAAATTCGGTGATGTATAAGTTGAATGAGAAAGGTCTGGATAAATCGCAGAAAATTGAGTTGACGGTGGCTTCGAACGCTGGGAAGATCTTGCTCACTAAAAAAGGCGAGATTTTGCACATTTCTCCTCAAGGATTGAACGTGTATGTGGGAGAAAAGAGTTCAACAAAGTTCAAATACTTCTGTCCGTATTTCTCAACGCTTGGTGGATGGAGCCAGCAATTTGTTGAATCGGTCTCTTTGATGAAAATTGGTGACGATCAGGAAGCATTAATTGGAACCGGTCCCAAGGGCATCGAATACTTTCCGATTTCTGATAAGTGCAAGAACTATGTGATTGAAGGATCAGAAGAGGTCAAACACGCTTTGGTGGCAGGAGGTGCTACGAAAAACGGCAACCAAATTAAGGTTCTAGGGTACTACAACGGTGAATTGTCTGTGATCACATTGGAAGTTGAAGAATTTGCTGAACCCAAATTGAATCAAGACTCAATCCCCAAAGAACCACAGGAACGCATGAAGGCAACGAAAAGCTCAAAGATCACTGTGCGTAGTGGCAATTCCAGCAAATCTACCCGTTGGCTTCGGGATAGTCTGGACGAGTCCAGCTTCAAGAACATCGTCGATAAACTGTCCGGAAAGGTGCAGTTTTCTTTCCCATTGATCGACCTGCAAGATCGCATGGGACTTCCGATCAAGCTGATGGTGTACTACGGTGAATCGGAGAGTGAAGATATGAGCGTTTTGGGTAGACACTGGACCTTGGGCAAGGATTGTATCGTGCTGGATCATGGGAATACGGTGTTTGCAGATAAGCATGAGTACTTTCTGGTGAAGGATCAGACGAAGGTAAAGCTGGAGAGGGATTGGATGAAGCCCTCAGCTGGAGGGAAGATAGCATTCTACATAGCTGGTCACAAAAATGTGATGTTTGAGTACTCGGTGCAGGATGAGAGGTGGGAGGCCAACGATGGTAAGATCCGGTACGTGTATGGCAACAAAAATCAAGGCGTGGTAAGTGTTCCAGGTTGGAATGATTGGTACGGACCGTCTGCAAAGTTTGATCAGACCAAAAGTCATGCCATCCAATGGAATTTGGTAGAAATAAGCAGCGTTGCCTTCAAAGACGTTAAAATTAAGTATTCTTACACTGCACTCGACACAAACACAAATACGATGCACCTGGCTAGCATAAGTGATGGGGATAAAACTAATATTAAATTCAGCTATAAATCAATCAAGGTGGTAGATAAGCAACCAGATTCGAGTTTGGTGAAGGAACATTCATTTATCAACAATAAGTTATTGGAAAAGGTAGAAATAGAAACTGTAAGCATTTCTCAATCACTGAAAATAACGAGCACCACAATTGGTTATTTGCATTACTTAGAAAGCATAAGTCAAGAAGGCGATTCAGATCCTGTTTTAAGATTCGAATATAACAGAGAAGATCAGTTGAAGCCAAGAGTGGCACAAATTCAGTTGCCATCGAAGGCAGTTCTAGACTTTCAATATACAAAACAGGCCATCCAAACCGATCAATTCATACAGGAGATAGACAAAATGGCCGATTTGTACACAGGAAACGAATATTCACTGCAAATTACGAAGCAGGCAGGTGAAACAAACCTCATCGTGAATTTGAAGGATACATCAGGCAAAAATGATTTCGTCAAAGATGAAACCTTGCGTATAGAAAGCTACCGAGGGTTCAAGATCAAATCCTTCAGTCCAATCATGATGCGAAACTATTTCGCGGTGGTGGTAAGCTACAAAGAAGCAAATTTTGTAAAGAATAGTAAAAAAGAATTAGTAAAAAAAGAAGATATCCATTCAAAAATACACATTTTCGTCAAACACGATGGAGACAGGTGGAGAATTGACAATGCCAACCAAAATTCAAGGGTGACTAATGATAAAAACTGCAAGTATGATTTTCAGGAGGACTCGTTCGTTTACTATCACTCGAACAAAGTTCACTTCGAGTACCATAAAGCGGGAAGTCACGAATGGAGTTACGCTTCACAGGATATTGGCGAAACTTCTGCTCTTTCCATGATCAATAGAGGAGCCATCTATTGGAAAGATGACCTCATGATGATACGATGGGATGCTTCAGGATCTCCGAAGCAGACAACTCTCAGTGATGCAAATAGCAAAGCCAGCGTATTGGACATTGACTCATTCTACCAGTACATAGATGTTCAAGGGACCTACAAGGAAGACGTTGAAGGCTCTAAGAAAGAAGTAGATGATTACAAACGAGATCTCAAGGAGCTACTGTGCAGCAATGGCCTGGTTCTCTATAACAATTTGGTTGCACTGAGAACGGTCAAGTTGAGCCATCTAGGAAAAACTTCCATCAAGCTGCTTCTCTATCTGTTGAAAGGAGACTACACCGTCTCAAGCAGATCTTCGATTGACATGGAGGGTGAAGACATCACTAAATTCAACCTTACATTAGACGTGTTTGATGAATACAAAACAAAGGATACCAGCCAACTGGACAAGTATCAATTTCAGTTCAAGAAAGAGAGCGACAAGTACAAGCTGAAGTTCACTGGAGCTACAGATAAGAATAACAAACCAACTAAACCTTCAACGGAAAACCAGCAGCTCATCGAGCAATACGAACGGCGCATGAAAATCCCCTTGGACTTCGAGAAGTACATGATGCAGGTCAACCACGACGGGATCATCCTTAACAATCATCAGATCATACACAATAACGGAAAATTCGAAACCAAACCTTTGGACCGCGACACTTTGAAATTGACGAAATTCCGGATTCCACTTGGTACGTCCTCCAACATCAACAAGGTCTCTGAAGCCGGGGATATAAAGTTTTGTACCAAAACTGAGCAGCAAAAATCGGAAAACTGCGTAAGTTTGGACATCAATACCGCACAGAACTTGTCGATCAAGTATCCGTACTACCTTGTGACGCAGAAGCGCAACGACATCAAAGTTCTGCCGCTCAAGATTAACAGTCGTGGTTGGGAAGATCCGGTAGACTACAAGGGAGAAATACTTCATGGATCAACCAGCCATTCAGTTTTGGTGACTACTCGCATCAGCGACAAAAAGACCATCGTGAGACCGTTGAAAAGCTTGAACAAGAAAAACAGCGCTTCCACACAGGTCATTTCGGCCGAGAAACTATCGACACCGTACGACGATTACCAGATCAAATACGAGTACTCCAACCCTGTGGTGTCCATGAATGAGATTGCCTTCAAGACGACAGTGGTCATTCCAGGTGGGGACAAGAAAGTCACTGGCTATTACAAAGAAAATAGCAACCTTCAGGCCAATGAACAGGTAGTGCAAGTCATGACGGCCGACGATCAAGTGTTCGATCCGGAATACGTCAAACGCATGAACGAAATGAAGGAGGAAGAGAATAAGCAACGAGATCGTTCACAGCTTGACGAGGAGCAGACTGTCACCGACAAAAGCGGCAAGCATCCAATTTTGAAGGTTACTCCATACAGCGTCAGCCAGAACCTAGTTCACTTCATCGGATTCGAAGACTACGAAGACACTAACGGATGGACCGTCAATCGAAAACCCTTATCCGATTCAGGCAGCATTCGCCGAAATGAGTTCTCTGCAACTGGTAGAAACTTCTTACTTCTGAATAACGGAGAAGAATTGTCCAGAGAGCTTCCCAACATGCCATACTACGATATCTTCATTGCCAGTGCCTGGATACGAACGACACAGGAGCTGGTCGTCGGTAGTCCTACGGACATGATTTCAATCTACGTAGACAACCGACAAATCAAAGGCGCCATCAAGCAAAGTATCGACGAATGGATCCAGGTTGAAGCTGCGACGACTTCCATCGAAGTTACTGGAAGCAATTCAGTGAAAAGGGTCACACTGAAAGTAGTCGTCAAACCGACCGGAGCTAATACCATTCACGTGGATCACGTTAGAATTTCCCCGATGAACTTCAACCTGGAAGCGAACGTCTATGATTCGCACATTGGTCAGCGAACTGCTCAGATTCAAAACAATGGGTACATTTCGCGAAGGCTGTATGATGTGTATAACCGGCGAGTTGCCGAGGTTGATGAAAATGGAAACATCAAATATATAGCGAGCTATTCCAAGCGAATTGGGAACAAGAAATCCACAAGCAAGCAGGAGGGAGGCAACAGCTCTAGAGTGCAAATTCAGGCCAAGAGGAGCTGGTTGGAGTCATTTTCTCCGTATACTGTGGAAAAGCGATGGCAATTTACGGGGGGTTCGACCGTAGAACCGTACAGCATTGCTTTGCAAGGCAAAATGACCTTCGGCTATCCAATTTCTGCAGAATCAATTTGCGTTCGATTGGTGTACAGTTTGGCCAACAATGCGCAGTTATCGATCATGATTGGGAAAGTTCAAGTTACAATCAAAGCTAATGCCGTTCAGTATAAAGGAGCTTCCTATTCCAGTCCAAGCAGCGCTGAGATCATTGTCTTTGTTACACCAACGTTTACCAGTATTTGGGTGAACGGGCATCTTGGCATGGAAACCTCCGAGAGCAGCGCAAAGTTCAGCAATGAAACAATCTCCTTACAAGCTACGGGATCTGTTGAAGTCAAAGACTTAATCATCATGGAGGACGCAGAGATTCAGGTGTCCTACATGAACCGCGATTCCAAGCCAATACAAGAGATCCTATTGCTTGACTCGAGCAACATTCTAATCCGCCAGATGATGTACGATACAGTTGGACGAAAAATCGCTGAAACCGTTTGGACACAGAAATCTCTCGAAGGTGAAGGTACAAATGGCTTCAAAGCACTTCAGTACCACGAAGGCTTTGTTACGAATGACAACTCTGTCAGTCCGGATTATTTCCTCAAATCTGGACCAATGAAAGGTTTCGTATCTACGGCCAACAAAATGTACGATGGGTACCCGTACTCGCAAACTCAATACTTCTCGAATCCTTTGGAAGTCCGAAACAAAGTTGGTCAACCCGGACTGCAATATTCGATTCACGGAAACATGTCACTCGAATATTCTATCGCTTCCGACTTGCCATTCATTCAGCGATTCTATCCAAAGGATGAAGGTTACCATCAGGAGCAGCAGAACAAACCGATTGGAAGGAAGATCGTTATTGTTTACAATCGTAGAAACAGGAAGGTCGCCGAGTACACCCAGGTCAAAGACTACAACAACATTCTGACTACGTACGTCTACGACGATCACGGCAATCAGATTCAGATGCTTCCACCAAGCTACTATAATGAACAACTAAAAGGCACCCATCAAGGATTTCAACCGGAAAAGACAGTAGTCCAGTCGCCATGGGCAGTGAGCTCAACGTACGACGAAACCGGAGAGCTGATCACATCCAAGGTAACACCGGATGGAGGCCGAGTTGATTTCATCTACAACGAATACAAACAACTTCGCTATCAGCTGCACTACGGAGAAAACAGTAAGGTAGACAAGATCGTGTACTTCCTGTACAACGTCTTCGGGAGAGTATGCGAAGCTGGACAGGTGCTGGCTAGTTCAGACATGGAAAAACAGGTGCGAGAAACCACAAAGAGTCATGACGCAATTCCAAACCACGAACAAGCAGTTTACTTCGACTATGGCGAAACGGAACCGGACCCATCACTGCGTGGACGAATCCAGAGAACGGTAAAGAAGAACAAGGATGTCACGTTTAGCGAAGTGCTGTACTTCGATGATGATGGCAACGTGATTCGCAAGAGATACGTCAGTCCAGCCACGAATGATTCGTTATCTCTGGAATACCTTCAGGAGAATGGCAAGGTTGATGGGTTACGGTATCCTTATACGGTGGATGGACAACAGTTGGTATTAAAATACAAGCATAACCTGAGAGGAGAAATCATTGAAGTGTCCAGAGTGCATGAAATATCGAAAGACCAGGTCGAATTTCAATCCATAGCAGCAATCGAGCATGACGCTGAAGGAAAAGTGACTCGGATCGCTCATCAATTTGGCACCAAGAACTTCAACCAAAGCTATAAATATGGTGTCCCTGGTTACCTAATGGCGATTGAGAATGATTTCCTCACAGAGAAGTTGTACTACACGGAGAAAGGCTATGGATGTGAACCAACCGGAGATGGCAGCATTCTACGAACCGAGTTCAAAGCCAGTTGGCATGATAAGTGCGACCAGAACTTGATTCCTCTGACGGCCAGAGCATTTGCTTCGAATACGATCAACTTCAACGTTGCAGAGGCTTGTTTTGACGCCTTGTTCGATTTGGGTTACATCGATACAAAGGGCCGGCCCGTGAAGACGTTTTATCCGGATTTGGAAACAAGAGTACCGTGGAAATGCGCAACGGCACCTAATTGGAAACACATGTCGGAAATGCTGCTGGAAAAGGGCTACCCAGAACACTACGGACATGCGTATGACTACGGAAGTCATGGAGAACTAGTTTCTGCCAAGAGTTTCGTTGGGCAGGAGAAGGACAACCTGGATCCTCCTTTGTCAAAAGCCGCACTATCAAAGGCTGGATTCCGAACAACACAGGATTTGGATAATTTCTGGAGCGAGCTCAACAAAGGCATCAGGAAGATTGAAGGCACCAGAGCGCTCTTTGAAGGATCTCACCAGCTGCCAAGTGGATCCATAGGATCAGTGATTCATAGACAGAAACTGAATGCCATACTGGAAGGCAAGGATAGTGATCCATCAATTTGTTCTGCTTGGACGAATGGTGATAAGTTAGAGGAAGCGAAATGCAAGAGAGATTTTCAGCCGATTTTCGAAAAAACGGATCTCAAAGCGATATTCAAGAAACTTGAAAATCCATTGCAACAAAATGTTTTGCAGATTCTGAAGAGAAGTCTTGCAACCGTTCTGGGAAACTCCCCCGGAGACGTGGAGTCATTCTCCATCGATCCAAATGGCAACCATGGTGTGTTCTATACAGGATTCAAACGCTTCGAGCTGAAGTACAAACCAAGAAAGAATCAAATCGATACAATCAAGGAAGGCAAGCATGATCGAGTGATCGTACATGACAGCGAAGGCAACGTGGTCAAAGCACTTCACAAGAACATCGAAAAGATCGAATACGATCCACTGACACAGCGAGTCTCCCGCATTGAGTTGGCCAACAAATCTTTGGTGCTGGAATTTGGCTACGATTTCCGGGGTGAACGAACTGTGAAGCGCGTTCGCAACAAGAACAATGAAGTAATCTCGGAGCTCTACTACGTCCGGGACAACAAAGGAAACGTTTTGGTGGAATACAAACAGGAGTATCCCAACCCGAAGGAGCCGAGCAAGCCCATCAGTACGGTCACTGCTTACATTCACGGTCCGCTGGGTCTTCTCGGGTTCTTCCGCAACAACAAGTACTACAACGTCCTTCTCGATCACGAAGGCTCCACAAGGCTCGTCATCCACAATGGCAAAGTAGTTGCTGCCTATGACTACCTTCCGTACGGGCAAATGATTCGCAAGTACGGATCCAACCCGGAGGCTCACATTTCCTTCCGTTACACCGGACAAGAGTTTGACGAAGAAACTGGCCTCTACAACTACCATGCCCGAATATACGATCCGGATATAGGTCGTTTCTTCCAGATGGACCCCATGGAACAGTACGCTAGTCCGTACAAATACGCTGGTAACTCACCCGTCTCGCAGATCGATCCGGACGGTCAAATCGCTATCACTTTGATCGCGATGGTGATTGGTGCGCTAATTGGTGCTTATCTGGGCGCAGCTTCAGCCAACAACAGTTGGAACCCGGCCAAGTGGGCTTGGAATGATAAGAAGACTTGGATAGGTCTGTTCGCCGGTGCAATCATGGGAGCATTCGCCGTGTACGGAGGGGTACACAGCTTTACCTTCTTCACGGGAATGTTTGGTGGTTCCATGATTGCAGGTGCGTTAGCCACGGGAGCCATTTCGGTGGCCGGTGCTTTCCTTGGAGCTGCTGCTGCTTCCAACGAATGGAACCCGGCCAAATGGGATTGGACGTCACCGGCCGTGTGGAATGGACTTCTCTCGGGAGCGTCCATAGCGGTAAGCTTTCCCTCAGGTTTTGTTGGAATTTCTCGAAGCTTTCTCTCGCTAGTTTCAGCAAGTACGAAGGCATTCTACGCCTTGTTGATGGTGAGTGGTTTTCTGCTGTTCGTGTACGTAGGTGGAGCCATGTCGAACAACTTCAAATTTCGTATGTCCGAATGGGACTGGAAGAGTCCACGCACGTGGTTCGGCATGGTAGAAGGTGCATCGACCATCTTCATGGGCGCTGGTGCAACTGCGAAGCACGGTGCTGCCAAGGTTCACACCATTGTAAAACCTGCTAAAATGAAGATGCCTTGGTACAAGATCAATATTCCGAAGAAGTCCTTTACGTGTAAGTTCGTTAAGGATGATATCATTGTAACCTGGTACAGAAATGGTCAAAAAGTAAGCAAGGAGATTCTTAAATGCTACTCCAAGACCGATATGGCAAGGATTCCCCAGAAGACATTCGGGATGACAAAGCAGTTCTATATGCCGTATTATCGAATCGGTTATTCGTTTCTAGCCATTCCAACTTTGGGGTATTTGATGTCTGATCGATACAAAGCATTTTTCGGTAATCATCCCAATGGGACTCTGACGAAACCGGTCCGGCGGAAGCGGTTCGCTTCGATGGCAAGCTCTGCGGCCGGACCCGGTGTTTCGAGTTTTTTTAACGATCTCTTCAGCGATGTATCGGATTTGTTCAATTATTACTTCATCCACACGGAGAATCAACAGGTCTTTGATTCGGATCGATCAATCGGCATCGCAAAGAAGTATGATAATCTGCCTAGCAGGTCGTTTCAAAAGCTGTGCTATTCTCCGAATGTCGAAGGCAATCAAATAATTTGTCCCCAACGTGAATCCACGGTGAATGTCTTCTCCAAACTCCCGGCATTCGAACCTGAGTTATTCGGACAAGATTCGTTCAGCAAATGTCTGCCACTGACGTGGCATGATCGACCTTCGATCGTATGCGATGGGCAACAGACGACCTTTGTCTACACGCCTGTTCAGAGCCTTAGGGTGTTTGATTTGGTGGATGGGTGGTTGATGCTCGCTAGAATCACTCCGGCTGCAGTTCGGAACGTGACGGCAGGGTTCAGCTTCCTGAAGAATGTGTTTATCGGGGAGTGTAGAGAACGAGCTTCTCCGATGAGACATCGGATGGATCGTTGCAAAAAGCAATTGGAATGCAAATTGCTTGCTCTGAAGGATGCGATGGTGGGCAAGAAACCATCCGAAGTGAAATGGGCTGAGCCTATTGTGAGCGATTTGGAAGACGACATTGGGGAGTTTGTACGAAGCAAGAACTCAACTGATGAGGACTTTGAATTGCTACAAGAGAGGTTGAGTTCCCTGAGGGAAGATGTTATGGAAGAATCTGGTTTTGATCATGGTTTGAACATGACCGCATTGTTAGGAGAAATGCTAAAGAGTATGTATGGTCAGGATGTAGTTTTCAATTCAGCTACCAAGTTGATCTCATCAATCAATGGTTTGGCATCACGACCAGCAATTCAACTATTGAAATAAGGTGTAAGTTGTACGTTAAGCATAATTGATAGACTTGATTAGGAAATAGTACAATATTAAAACAGGAAAGATTACAGACTAGTGTATTGACCGAGAATCTGATTGAACCGTGCCGTGCTTTTAAATGTTAACTTGATAATCCCAATATCTAATCTGTGTGAAAAAAAATAATAGTTTTACTATCGAGTGTCGTATGAGCCAAGGAGTGAATGGCATTGCAATAACAAATTTCGAACCGAAGATTAAAAATTAAAATCTTCGTCGGACTGTGTATTATTTCTTAATCGATGACACATTGCTTTCCCACTGATCTTTTGGGAACTTTTCTGAAGCAGAAATAGCTGAGGAACAGTTCGGAAGTTATACTGAGAGTTTTTTTCTTTGATTTGTTTTCCGTCGATCTTGTTTTCTGTGCTGAGCACCAATGCTACAAACGCCAGGGAGGCAGCTCCCACACTTGGACCCTACCTACGACTTTACTTCCCTTCCGAAGGTATACATGATCAGAGCCTAAGCCTTTTGGGGTAAGAGAAGAGTAAAAATGAATGAACGTGTAGAGTAAAGCAAAATGGAACGATGCGAAACGGAACGCAGTATCAAAACAAAACAGCAAATAATGCTACCAGAAACTCGCTATTCTGATGGTCGTAGGGTTACTAGCAGTTCAAATTTAAATTGATGCCTGTTAATATGCACAAAGTTTCGTTCAGATTACAGCGGTCCATGGTAAAAAATTTGAAAAGATTACTGATCCATTTGACCTTCGAAAACAGATAACAATTAAACCAAATATTTAAATTAACAATATGATCCACTCTAAAATTATCCACACTACCGCCACTAGTGACACGAAAGCTGACTGGTACACTCACTGTAAATTGAGCGCTTAGCAGTTGACAGTTCAATATCAACAAGGCTATCGAAAAAAACTCACAATTGAGTAAAATTTTACTCAGTATTGTGAAAAATTAGACTATAAATTACTGACCATGGCGGACAACATTATGCACTACTTTTTCCAACGTTTGCACATGAACGTATACTCCACAGTCCAGTCCACAACACTCAACTTTATCGATTTTGTTCTGAGGTATGATGGAGGAAACAAGAAACAAGAGCAACATGTGAAAATGACCGATGTGTCAAATGTAAACAACGACTTTCAACGTCGATTTCTCGTGAATAAACACGCAAAACAATCCGTTCCGATATTCGTGAACAAAAAATCACGATACGCTAAACTACTACCCAACAAACATTGAATGTTTAATAAGAGCTTATCAAGGCAAAAATTGGCTTCTTTAGCTAAAAAATTGCTTATTCAGCTGTTAATCAACTCAAATTGTTTGTTGGGTAGTTCTTTCGAATTCATTATCTTGTTCCCATAAAGGAGTAAATCGAATTTTCATGAATATAATCTCAAATCCGTTAACTTAGTTCAGTGCGACTAGCGATTTCGTAACGCTAAGCAAAATGCAAAATAAAATCGTGATTTCCTGATACCACGAACCCATAATTCAGGGGAAACATGACAGAAGGGTCTAACTCGAAACGTAAACAATGACTTGGATCGTTGGTTTCTTACGAATGACTACATACTCACTCAAACTAATTAAATCATCTGACAGAGAAATGTTTGTTCTATGAGCTAGTGTAATCAGATTCCGTGGATGTGTGGTAATTCAAGAGAAATCGACGTTCAAAGTCATTGCTTACGTTTCGAGTTATACCCTTCTGACATGTTTCCCCTGAATTGTGATTTTCGTTTCAGCAATCTTGAACTTGGATCACATACTGCAGCTGTCATTATAAGGTTGTTGTCAAACTTATTCCTACTGAGTGCTCCGATTCATCGAGAATAGTGTGTTGCTTATTAGTGTATTCAGCTGAGCCGAATCGTCATACTAATGGTGGAGTTCTCGAAGGAAAAGGTGAACCAGTGAACCTTTTGTTCGATAGCGATAAAGCGGTACCTGTTGTCGAGAAAACATTGAAGATTGCTCCAGAGGCGGTGGGTATGTTTTCCGTTAGTTCGGACCCTAGAAATAGCATGAGAGGGAAGGTGAACAAGCACCGATGCGGCTAGCATCGGTGGGGATGTGATCAATGATTGTTCACCGATGACCGGTGATCGAAGATCCATTGAATTGATGAGCTGAAAGTGTGTCCACTTCATCTGCTGGACAGGCACCTACTGCCAATTTGGGGTATGGGTAGGGTTACCATATCAAAAACTTGAAAAGGAGGACATTTCATTTGAGGTTTGGAGACTAAGGAGGACAATGATTCCTTTTCTTTACATTAAATGAGGACAATGAGCATTTATCAAACGTTTTAATAATATGTGCGCTATCACAAAATTCATGAATTGGAAAGGTTCAATTGAGATTGCTCATAACTTTTTCAAAACCAATTCAATGCATCTTCTCGTTATACTTCTGAAAAATGCATCAAACTAGCCTTCATAATTCAATTTTGATACTTGGAAATGATCTAGTCAAGCTGATTTGCATGAAAACTACAGCTTTACAACCTTAAAACCATCCCAACTTTTATCGTGTGCAAATATCAGGATACATGTCATCGGTGATTGATACCAACATGGAACATCTAAGCAACCTGTTAATGTTACCATTGATTCAGCATAGGACTTTAAGGCCGCTGCCATAGTGGAAGCGAAGAGGCGCGCTTATCGTTCTATACAAAAGAGTTCCTATTATTGATATTATTCCTTACATTCGATTTCCCACTTCGCGTGCCTCTTCGGTCTCAGTATGGCAGCGGCCAACACAAATCAAGCGTAACTATTCAAATCGACGCATCTGCTTCTGTAAACAATCTCTTCAATCGACGATTTGTCTTAACTGTTAACTCACTCACGCAAACAAACACCATCATCAGGTAGGGGAAACTTTCGCCTACTAGCTAGTGAGCTTGCAGTTACTACAAATCGTCGATTGAAGTGATTGTTTACAAAATCAGATACGTTGCCTTGAATAGTTATGCTTGAAATACCCAAAATCTCAAAGAACCAGAATGTTAAAATCAAACAAATGATGGATTCAATCTGTGTGGCTGTGTTCAATTTGGTTCAATTTTAACTTAAATTTGACAGATAGGAAATTTTCAAATAAACCTGCTATTGTATCAGACCAGGAATCAATGTTGACAAACACCTTCTTGAAAAGCACACGATTTTCGAACATTATAATTTATTTTCGAAGTATCAAATTTTAGTAAAATAAAATATAATAGTTGAAGATGCTAATTTCAAATAACAGACTAGAGTGGTATTTTTTATACGATAGATGAGGAGTTGATAGTTCCGTTAGAATACGGCAGAGAGTAGAAAGCGAGCAAGGACAACTTTTATTAATGAAGGTACAAATCGGTTTGATCATCTTTCATTACCAAACTCTCCCGTTGGAGAGGGATGGTGAGGGGTATTCCCCCACTATAATGTTCGAAAATCCCTCTGTTGTTGTCCGATTTTCGAGAAATTGTTTGCCAAAATTATTCCTGGTTTGTCTGAAATAAGTCTGGTAGAATCGAGGGGGCGACACATCTAAATCTCAATTCTAGATATTCAAAAAATCTCACACTAGTGAATCAATCTTCGAAAAAATTTCTTTCAATTTTCGCATCTACTTGCATCGCGCTTCATCTTTTTGTAGGAAATCTTCAGATTTGTCATCAATCTTCTTTTTATCTACTAAGCGTGTGCACAGCTAGCCACAGCAAAACACAATTTTTCCTGCATCGTAGATAGAGTCGTCCCCCTCGGGTAGAATAGCAGCTTTAATTGAAAATGTTCCATCTATCAAATATTATATATAAAAATTCACCAAATGAACCGCAGCCTAAATGTATGGGGGGTTGACAGCTGTAGTATACTTCTTGTCCCACCATCCAATGGCATTTGCCAGATAAGATGGGGTTGCGACATATTTAAATAAATAAGCTCTACAAACAACGCTCTTTGAAAACAATTTTATGAATATTTTACTGGAAAAAATGCAAGGTTTAAAAAGGAGGACATTTTCGGGCAAAAGGAGGATGTAGAAAAATTATTGAAAAAGGAGGACATGTCCTCCTTTAGGATACCATATGGTTACCCTAGGTATGGGTGAAACCTGCATTGCTAGGTTGTTCCAGTCAAGTCTACCGTCGCTTTCAGTTTCCTTCCATTTCCATGCTGTACAATCCAATCAAAATACAACCAGAAATCCTTATTGCCGGGCTAACGGGGCGTGAATAAGGAACCGCGAATAACGATACCCACAGCTTATGGGATTGTCACTAATGGGGGCTGTGATGGATTATTTCATTTGTTTCAGTATATAAAGCTATACTGTCTTGGACAAAGATTTTGTTCTGGTATAGACCAACAAGCCTGTGTCATTGGATTCAGGTTTAATTTGGAACTACGCCGCTAGAGGCGTTTCACTTTTATGTTACTTATGACGGGCGCTACACAGAAAAAAATCTGAATTTTAACTATCGCGTAAAATCTCTCTTCGCTTAATTTTGAGCTAAACTTGGTATAAACAGCGAAATCTTTTACAAGCTTGCATACAATATTGCTAATTTATGCGATATTGCGCTTAAATTTACACGAAATATCGTGAAATTTCACGCCGAATCTAGCGTTAATTTTATGTGCGCTATATCTCGCAGAAATTCAGGGTAACTGATGATGGTTGGACTTATTTAGGCCGGTTTCACACGACACCAACATTCATGTCGTATTATTTTTTTTATGAATTCAACATATAATTATGAAAAATGCGTGATTAGGGGAAAGATCTACCTTTCTTGTTTTTAATAATAACATAAAAAGTTAAATATTATGAACAAATGATTTTATAAAACGTTTTTATTCAGCAAAGAATTATGATGTTGGTTGGACCTATACTGATCTTGGTTGAACCTAAAAAATGATGATGGTTGGACCTATTTTTGCAAATGCTAGTTTAGCCCATATTTGTTCAAATACTTTGTTTAAAGCTTATTGGTATCATGAAAAAACCATTTTATACAGTTTTTATGAATTGGTCATTTAAAAAAAAATCAAGAAATTTGAGTTTAGCTTCGTTTAAAAAAATGTTCACTTTCCACGCATTAGTTACTCATCATGGCTCATTTTCTCGGAAATCATTCACCTGATTTGGAAATTTTTTAACGTCAAACTATAGGTATTGTGGTCCCATTGAAAGCTA